TTTTATTTAATAAGTGGTATGCGTGAAATCTAAGAAACAAATAAATAAATTATTGTTGTATTATAATAATATTTGTTTCTCATCTAAGTGTAGGGCACTGACTGAGTTGATTGTCCCGTATTATTTATATCTAGCAGTATTTAGGATTTTTCGTATGTTTCAAACTTGTGATCTCCCTTTTATCTTTTTTAATAAGTCATAAATAATGTAATTTTATTCGAAATAATACAAAAACATAAACAATTTGCGCTAAAACGATATTTAAATACAGTCCATGAATATGATACACTCGATCTAAACTACAGTTGATTTATGCTCTCCTGGTACTTTGCGCGACGGTGTTGGGGTAAATTGAAACAGTTGGAGTATGCAACATGATTTTTAGAAGCAAATGGCAAGTTGTTAGCTCATGCTTCACGGTCTTTATGACAGCCTAGTACTACACACGTAGAGCTGAGCTCTGTGGGGCGTTATTTGTCGGAAAGGGGCAGGTAAGGGCGGTTCTTTATGTCTTCGTTAGTTGCCATAAAAAATAATAAAAGGTGGTACTCTCATGGGCGGTGCAATTTGCGATGTGAAATGTAAGCAAACACTTTCTTATAATTTGTTAATAAATAAATAGATTATAGATTGCTTCCTTATGACACTATTCAGATTATACTCAATACGGTACAACCATGGTCTAAGTACGAGAAAGACCAGAATAAAGGAATTAATTATTATCAAATTGAGACGATGTAAATTCATTCATTCATCATCGACCCATGCTCGTCCACTGCTGGACATAGGTCTCCCCTAATGCACGCCACTGCTCCCGATAAATACGATGTAAATACTAGACAGATATTTGGTATTTTCATTTAAATACAAATTAGAGATTAAGACTTGAATGAAGTATAAACGTTTCTTTCTTTCTTACTACCTACTTATATAGGTTGTCTATATAAATTGTAATTTTTTTACATTGATTTTGTCTATTGCATAAAATCCCAGTTTAGGTTAACAGTCCACTTGCAGCAATTTTGATAATCTCAATTTGACTAAAACTAGATTAAGACCATACAATAATGACAAATTGACATGACGTTTTGACAGTTTTCTAGTTAGTTGTAGTTGAATCGATTTTTAGCAAATTTAATTTGCTACAAATGGGCTGGGTTCCGCTTTGATTTAAAGTAAAATCAATGAATTAGGTAGGTAATTTCCCCGCATCCAATAAAAAAACACTAATCTTTTTTTTGTATAAAAAACTTTTCTTGAAATTTTATTTACCATACCAGGTTGACATAAAAGGCAGACAAGTAAGCATTAGCAAATGACCCAAGGCGGGCTTTATGAGGCGGGGCCTTGTTCATAATAATTATGGTTACCAGGCCACTCCGATCCGATCACATCAGACCAGTCAGTGTGGGAGACGAGCGATACATACGTACATACCTAACATGTTATTTCGATAAATATATACATAGTAGATCGACCGGTGTCTGAGAGATATAGTTTAATGTTGGTATCCTCCTATATGAAAGAGGCTTCAAAATTATCCCTAAAAATCTTATTTAAAAATACCAATCACAAACTTTGACAGATCCGTATACGTATCACTAACTTTTTCTTCTATGGAAATTACGCAGCGCCCCTACCGGACGTAAGAACAAAGTAGCCTTCTGCCTTTTCCTTAGAGAATTTCGCATGTATTTTTGTACCTACAAGTAAAACTGTACTTTGCTTCCTCTAACAGTGACATCTATCATTGGAAAGCTATTTTATAGAAGAAATTGCGCCATCTACTGTTGTTGCCCCTCGACACCAGATGGCGCAAAACACTACATGATAAATAGCGCGTGGTTTTTCCCAATGCGAGCTGATAATTTATTTGTTTTGAGCAATTTATTCTGGTCTAAAAAAAATTTAAATAGGTATGTCCATTTACTAACTTTTTTAAACTTAGTTTATTACATATAGCGAAAGCGACTTCCATACATATATATTTTTAATGTCGGCGGTTGAAATGTTATTGATACACATGCAAATTACAAGATACTGTGAAGACTTTATTGGTAATCTCTATACATTTATCTAACGAAGTCTATGGAAGATCCCAGAGGCAGCAAATTACTTTATTATAAAACAAAGCATTGTAGTAATTTATTAAACCTGGGAACCATTTCACGGCCGTTACCATTTCATTTAGTCTTACAGTAACTACAGCGCCATACAAAGGGAGCAACGACATTAAAAATCCGTTGAAAGAAAGATTAAACACTCTTAAGTTTCAAAACATAAAACTGATCTGAGCTGTCAAAATTCGTGCTTGTGCCTCAGATCTGTAGGTATCCCTAGCACGAACCATTATCGAATTCGAATTGTTTGCAAACCGAAATGTTAATGTAAAATTCTGTATGGAAGCTTGAACAGCAGCGGCACAAAGTACGTAAGGAGAACTAAAAATCAGTACACATTTGACAATGACATTTCGGACTCGCAAACGATACGAATTCGATATTGGTTCGTGCCAGGGGTACAGCAGTCACGGAAACACGCGCGTAGCTGCGGTTGCCACGCACCCTGCAGTATAACGCGGAGCAGTGAGAAAAAGAAGGCGCCTTTGTTGAGACGTGCGACTGTGGGCGTGTGTCGTTTCGAACGTTTCTATTGTATGTATGAAGTTTCCTTAGGGCCTGTGATGCGTCAAGTGGGAGCACGGAAGGACATTTGCATCGCACCGCGTGTAGTTTCATGTCATGCATGGAACGGGAGACCTGCCTTACGCAGCGCTGCTCTATGAAATACAAATATTAAATAAATAAGTATTTCCAACATGCACACCAATTAGCCCCAAAGTAAGCACTGTAAGGCTTGTGTTATGGGATACTAGAGTAATGGATAGTATACATATACAGTAAACATTTAAGTATATTTATATAGAAATACATATTAAACATCCATGACTGGATTATAATGCTTGTATTCATCACACAAACATCTGCCCCCACCGGGATTCGAACGGTCGCTCGGACCTTTTGAGTCGGCGACACCATGAAACCCGGCGAACAAACCACTCGGCCACGGAGGTCGTCAATATATATACCTTTGGGTAGAAAGGTCGTATAAACCATTTTGGCAAAATTGAGTTATATACCATTTTTCTCAGATTTTTTTCTCTCTAAAAATGCTCGAGAATTTCATGAAATGGTCGCATTTCATGTGTATGAATTGAGAAACACATTTTAAAAAAAATAATTTAGGTGACAAAGAATACAATCATTTAATTTTAACATAGTCTTGTTTTTTTACTAAATAATATTACGAACAAACGACGAAGACGAGAAAGAGCTAATTGAATAATACAATTATTATTATAAAAGAATAAAAACTTTTCGTGTTCACGTAATTTCGCATTTGGTTAGATGTTATTTACAAAATATTATTTACTAAAAAAAAATCTTATTCCACTGCTGGACATAGGCCTCTCCAAATGCACGCCACTCAGATCGATCTTGGGCTACTCGCATCCAGCTCCTGCCAGCCACCTTGCGCAAATTGTCACTCCATTGTGCCTGAGGACGTCCCACCACACTACGTTTGCCTAGACGCGGACCCAACGGTATCGGCAAATATGGCCAGCCTGCCACTTCAGCTTACTAATTCGGTCGGCTATGTCGATAACTATTACCTCATTTCTGATGCGATCCTTCAGAGAAACGCCGAGCATAGCCCTTTCCATAGCGCGCTGAGCGACTTTGAACCTGTGGACCAGCCATACCGTCAGTGTCCACGTCTCGGCTCCGTATGTCATCACAGGTAGGATTGAAGACTTTTATTAGTCAGGATTGGATAGAACAGGATTGTTTATTAGTCAGAATTTTTTAGTTTTTAATATAAAAAAAAAACTACATAACGTAACGGTTTTTACGACAGTAAATGTGACCATAAGCTTACCAAATATACGACCTATACAGTTTTTTTAAAGTAAATTTTCATGGGGTGTATAACCAAGAATTTAATTTTACTTAGACGTAAATCCAAGTTAACTTTAAAACTAAAGTAGATGGATAGGATTTGATGATTTAACCTTTTTCATTTGCAAATTATAAGAAGCTATCTCTTAGATCATTTTTTTATAACTTCAAAAACAAAAAAGTTATGAACTTTTATGTAAAAAAAAAAGGTTCTTTTACTCTCCTGAAAAGTCGGGTTTTGGTTTATACGACCTTTGTACCCAAAGGTGTCGTTAAATAACATGCAAGTAACGCCATTTTTCATGGTACCAATGGGATAAATCGGGGCCATTTGTACCATCAATGGTACTGCTTAATGGCCTAAACAATAGCCACGCATAGCGCACTGAACACGCAATGCGTGGCTCCATAGCAAATATGAAGTCAAAAGCGACTATCAATTAGCGTCAGTGCATCACAACGCTTCGTGTTGTGAATACATACACATGTCTCCACTGCTAGGGCACAGGCCTTCCCTATGGATGGAATAGGGAGACTGGGCCATGCCCCACCACGCGGTCCCAGTGCGGATTGGCGGGTGCTAACAACTGCAATGCAGCCGGGACCAACGGCTTAACTCGCTTTCGGAAGCACGCAGGAAGTCGAGATAAGTAGAAGATTATTGGTCACCCATCCAATGACCGACCACTGCGAAAGTTGCTTAACTTCAACGATCGCAGCCGAACGCGCTAACTACCCGCGCCATCACTGCTCACTGCTGAACTGTTCACAAACACAAAAAAAGCAATTACTTTTGACTTTGTACTTGCACTACACATGGCCAATTTGAAGTAGTGGGTGTTAATTAATAACGTTTTGTTTCAACAAACCATTATTCGCCTTAGTCGCATCATACACAATAATTATTGCACGTTAAATGCACTGTTTTAGCAACACAGAGCTAACTTTAGTTGAAAACATTTCACCATCGAGATCTTCCCTAAAATAATTTATAGATATAGAAATTAAGAAAAACAAGGCTAGTTTTTACTAATTTTATTAGTTTACTAAAAAACAATTCAATAAAACAATTGTAAGAACTTTGCTAATACATACTTTTAATGTTTTTACATACTGGCTGTATGTAAGCCGGAAAATATTAAAATAAGCTGTGGAGTATGCTAATGGATAAGTCATATTATGTTAAACATAAGAGTATATATTGTTCAGGTACTGAAAAGCTACATTTAACATGAAACTTCCTGAACATGGTTTACTTTTGAAAAAATATTTACAAATCAATTTATGTTTGCACTACCATTTCTTAGTTTTGATGTTATTATGCTTAAATCATTTTTACATACATATTTACAAAAATGAAAAAATTGTAAGGGGGTTTTCTGCAAAATCAGTTTTTGATCAGATTACCATCAAAAGGCAATAAAACCAATAAAAGTACCATAATCATCCACTTCTAAATACAAACAAACAAAACTAAAATATTCTATTCTAAAAAAAAATTAATGGACATTATAAACATGCTATGAGGACCCCACCCTACTTACTCTGTATATTTATTCCAAGGAACATTTTCAATGGAATGTTTCTTTAGTTTGTGCTTTTTCAAATACTTCGAATCAATGAAAGCTTCTTCACAAATTGAGCAGACATACGGTCTTTCTCCAGTGTGGGTTCTCAAATGTACCACTAAATTGCCTTTCAAGGCAAAGAATTTCATACAAACACTACACCCAAACTTCTTTTCCCTTGTATGAGTGAGCTGATGTGTACGCAAGTGTGTCTTGGTCTTGAATCGAAGATGGCATAACTGACATGGGAACGGTCGCTCATTAGTATGCACTCTTTCGTGCATTATTAACATAGCTTGACTAGAACACCTTTTGCCACACATGCCACATTCAAACCTCTTAATTTGCTTCGATCTTACACTCTTATGAGTAGCTATGTGGGATTGCATAGCTTTCTTCGAAGGTAATACTTCTCCGCATTCAGGACATATTAACTCAGCAGGGTCTAGCATATGATTTTGTTCCACATGTTGCTCCAATGCAGATTCTAAGGAAAACATTTTTTTGCAAAGTGAGCATGCATATCCAAGAAGTTTTCCAACAGTGGTGATGATTTCCTGTTTGACAGTCTTCATCAGTTCCTTTTTAACTTTAAGGACTTTTGACTTGCTACAATTTCCGCTTTCTTTATGAGATGCTAATGTCTCTTTATCTTCAAAAACCTCATCACATTGATTACATGAATATGGATTTACATGTGTTAATCTGTGAGTCTGCATGGTAATTTTCTGATGGAACCTTTTAAAACATAAGTCACACTCAAACTCACGAATTCCACTGTGTATCATCATATGTCTCTTTAGGTTATTAGGATTGGCAAATGTCTTTGCGCAAACATCACAGCGAGGTTTGATATGATTGTGGACATGTTTAATATGTTGAGTGAGTGTATTCCTTCTGAAAACTTGATTACAGAATGGACATGCAACTAATAAACCTGTCACATTGTGAAGGATTGAGTGACCTGCTAATATCTCAGCCGTTTCAAATCCTTTTCCACATAAATTGCATAAATGATCTCCAGCAGGGTTATGATTGAATTGGTGTTTTTCAAATTCTGATAAATCTTCAAACTCTTCACCACAGTCACATAAAAATGTACCATCATCTCTTTGTACTACAGTAGCTATTTGACCTTCGTCAGCATACTCTATCACTTTTAGTATTTCGAATGGTGATGGATTGTCTCCCTCATACAAGATTACCTGTTCTTGGTCAAGCTGTTTCCCATCAACATTTGCAATCATCTGTGTATCAGCCACATATTCAATACCATCTGCATCTTTTAAAAGGATTGTACCATCGCTTGTGGTTGCTGTTAATATTTTTATCAGATTTTTGGTACTATTGGTTTGGTCAGGATATTGTTCGATGGCATTAGGATTTCCTTGATATTCTTCTACTTCATGTATAGTCTGTTCTTGAGAGTTGCTATCCTGTGTGTCAACATCCATCATATTAAAGTTTTCACTATCATCCTCTTGGCTTTCTTCTTCGTTCTCTAATATTGTTGCTGGTACATTGACTGGTACTTTTGTTGAGTTGGAAACAAGAAATGACTCAATTCTGTTTTCAAATTCATGACGATTATCCTTCTGATGAACTTCTTCGCTAGGTTCTTTTGTAGGCACTGGGATTTCTATATTTGCAACAGGTTCTGGATTCTCCACTTTCACCTGTGATAAATTCACTTCGATCGGTTTGTCTTTAGAGATGTCTTTGGAAATTTCTTTATTATTTACATTGTCATCAATCACTAAAACGTAATAACATTCATCATCACTATCTGCTGGTTCGGTTTTTACGATAGCTTCCAATTGTTTCATCGGATCATTGGCTATATCTTCCTCATCATCATCTACAAGTTGTTTAGCTTCATCAGACTGACTAATTAAAATGTTGAGTTGTTCCTTTAAGTCAGCATCCATTCTGATACACTGTTTTTTGAATTGATAAGCAGAATTCATTATTGCAAAACAATCTGTACATAGCATATGTGGTAGACCATCATCATTTTTTACCTGAAATTGTAAACATTAAACATTTAGTAAAATTATTACCTACTATTAACTTATACATATCATTTTCAAAAAAGAAAGTCAGCTAAATAATGTATCGTATCATTAGTGGATGAGACAATAGTAACAAAAAAACAATTCATAAAACAGTACCTACTTATCTACTTTTAATTTTTAGAGATTAAAAGATTGAGCTAACATATTGTTTCTGAACCAAGAGGATAATTTGGCTAAATGTAATGTGTATGGGTTTCACTTCTTACAAACCTAACATAAACTATTTATGTTATAAAGTTGTATTTCGATTAATAGATAATGAGATTATACAACATAATATGAACAAATCCAAGGAAATGGTGATACTAAATGAGGGGTTTTAAACTTTATAGTTTCTTTAAATGGATAACATATAAAATCACCTTTTTGATTAAAAGAAATAGTAGAAATGCACGAGTTTATTTATGTATGAGGTTATTTTGTAAGGTTAGGAATGCTTAATTTTTTTTTAAATAAGTTCTAAGCTTTGACCGTGACATAAATACAAACAAAATAGGTTATAAAACCGATAAAAAAGTTAAATGTTTTTGCAACATACCTCTATAGTGGTTATTTCAAAAAATTTCAGCTTATTATTATCAGCGTCAAGTAAGGAAACTGTACAATTTGAGGATAGGCAGCAACGACACAGATCTGTCCACGTATCCATTTTACATAATTACTCGTTATTAATCTGGAAAAGAAACATAAAATTCTTTTAAGTTCCATTGTTTTGACAGATAAATACACCTACATCAAAGACCACAATTTTCTAAATACTATCCAAAGAGAAAAATTATCTACGGACCTTGTCCATAAAGACAATCTATCCTAAAATTATAGACAAGAGACGAGCGCACAGACAAAATGGCGGGCAAACGAGGCCAGCTAAACGGCGTGCGTGGTTATGGCGGATGAAAGATATGAGCGGCGCTAGAATCGTTATTTCCGGTACTATCACAGTGATATTTGGAATGGAACATGAATGGAACTTAAAAATATTAATTATTTTATACATTTCAACATGGTGAGACACAGAACAGTAACTTTGATTTTTTGTTATCTACTTTACATAACGTAAGTTAATTGGTGGGGCATTTGTGTTGAAACGCACAATTTTACGATTCCTAGTGCTCGCGCTTTCGAGATATTATTGTAATTTTTTTTGGATGTCTGCAACATCAATAACATTTTATCACTATTAAAAATAAGCAAATGTAACTGTCAAGTTACATAATGTAAACTGAATCTCGGTGGTGTCTACTAAAAATGCAGTACTTTGCAAGTACAAAGTGCACTTTATTTAAAGCGAAAGCCAGGCTGACCTCGAACCAGCGTCTTTCGCAATGCGAATGTAATGCTTCCATTGCTTTTCCTAATTTCTCGGAGGATTTTAATTAACAACATCTTAGGGTACGGCCAGAGTGCACTCAGATTCAGATTTTGAAAACAAGCGCGAGAAATAAACAGTGTAGTCGAAGGGTACGGCCAGAGTGCACTCCTGATTCAGATTCAGACTCAGAAAACAAAGCGCGAGAAAAAGCAGGCAACCTGCTTAGACTACACTGTTTATTTCTCGCGCTTGTTTTCGGAATCTGAATCTGAATCTGAGTGCACTCTGGCCGTACCCATACTTGACATATAGCACAGAAAGGGGTTCCTCTCTATGTTCTATGATACTGGGCGACTGCACGTAAATATTTGGTTTGTTTATGATGCTATGGCGTTGTTTTGTTAAATTTCAACTAGATGTCGCTATTTGCGTTTTAAAAATCGGTAATCATCAAACTAAACACCGCATTTAATTTACCCTTAATTTTGTTATTTTTACTATAAAGGCAAAAGCTTAGAGCATAATAATACTTTAAGAGCAATAGAAATACATATTCGGGGAAAGTACCTATTACCTAAAGTTAAAAGAGTTTTCAAATAGCAGAATCGAGCACGATCGAAGATAATTTATAGTTCAGGTACATGCTATAATTATTGTGATCTTTATTTAATGATTATGTAATGTAAATTATCATGTAAAGCACTAGTAATGTAAATTATGAGAATAAAAAAGACAAAAAAATGTCAATGAGTGGGTAGATTAGTAATTGGGTTTCTATAATACTTATTGGCTACATACTACTCAACACTACTAAAACTGACTTATATTAATAACTGACTAAATAATCACTAACTCAGAAATGAATCTAGGATATATTGCTGACTTAACTTCACCTCGTTCTCAGTGCCATCTGTCGCTCACTGGAGTCTACTCTAGTTTTCTATGTTTCCACTAGATGTCACTCCATGTCGAAAATGGTATGATCTCCAGAGTCGAGAGTTTTTATAGTATGGATGTGATGTAAGCAAATTTTAATGAATTGCACTTAGAAGTTGCATTTGATTAAACTCTCATATGAATATCATATATAATAAATCTATGATTAAACTACCCCGGCTGGTGCCATATAGTATTTTGATGTATTCAGATAAGCAGTGTTTCGGTGTTTCCAACCAACTTAAAAAAGGAGGAGTATATTCAAGAGCCTTGATCTAACTTATGTTCTGTAAGGCTAGACGATATCCAACTAAACATATCTACGAGGAAACTGACCATCTCATATTTTTTGTTTTCTCCCAGGCGGGGGAGCGGGTGGGTAATCCTCATGGATACAGCCGGCTGCAAGGTTATGTCAGACTCTTACTGACTAAAAAAACCCGTAGTTCAAGCTTATGGCCGGAAGAGCCTTACAAGCTTTATCTGAAGCCATCATCCCCTGAGAGGGGGATGATGCAGGAGCTTCTCACTGTTCGGCAGTTGTTTTTATATACAACTCAGTTCTCCGCTACCATAAAACCCTAGATCCCATGCAGCTGCCGCTAAATAAAAGACGCATTCGTACTCCTCCTGTCCCAATTTGTAAAACAGTATTTACTAGACGACAAATACACTTCACGGAACTAGCGCAACGGGCATGTTTAATATTAATAATGTGAAAAACTTTCATGAACTTATGATTGGATTTAAAGTCTCCACAGTAGACTAATAAAATGTACCAATAGCATTGTTTCGGCTGTTTTTCGAACTTTATATATGTATTATTTAAATTTTTGTAATCTTAAAACTTAATAGAAATTAATACAATGTTTAATATAATATGGAATAATGATTGACAGTTAAATGACTATTAATAATGTTTAATTTAAATTTTGACGAAACGTAAGTGGATATAATTGTAATTAATAATCTATGGGACATGTATTTGAATGCATACCAATGCCTAAAATAAAAATGATTCAATATAATTATTATTCAAACTGTTCTCTGAAAAAATTTAAAAACCCTAGATTATAAAATACGGAAAATATATTTAAAAATAATAAGATGAAATTGATAAGATACACATACACACCACACACACAAACACACCTAGCAAACTTCTTCAGCTATTCAATTGAATTTATAACTTAAAAACAGTTATATGGATTACTAAATTGTTTACTAAATAGTACAACACATTATGTATGGGGGTTTTATCGCAATTTCTTTCAACGTTTTTCATTACCCATAAAACGAATCGCAGAACTTTTCTTTCAATATTTAACAAACCCTAGAATTAGGTTACATCGCATTTTCGTTTCCTCGAATATTTATTATTTACAAACACAGTTCATCGTTATTTCTTTTCATGTGTAGTGTACCTACATAATATAAATTGTTATTTGGTATAATTTAAATATTTGTTTTTGTATTAATTTTGTGTTCTTTATGTTTACATTAATATATATATTGTATTGCCTTATAAACTATATAATTAAATTTAAATAATAAAATATTATGTTAAAATATGGTAAACGTAATATTGTAATGTAAAATATATATTTTAGTAGACAAGCGGACAGTCATATTTTGCTTGCGCATAGATACTCTTCTGCGCGGACGCAGGCCACGGCCGCTTGAACGTAACCGGTCTCAGTGGGCGGGGCCTCCGCACCACTTGTTCCTGCGCGGCCGCGGCAGTCAGATCTGCTTTGTATGCTTGTCGCTTGTTCTCTCACTGTACCTAACGATCTCGACATCCGCTTGTTTAACGTTGAACTAATAGTCACTGCGCTGGACAATCTTTCTATTATACTCATTGTGCACCTTCCATCTTGCATTAATAGTGTTTGCATATTTATTAGGATAATATTGTGTAAACAATAAACCGTGAGTATTGTGAACTTTGTTGCACTCATTTTACAACACCTGAGAAACTCACGCATAATCCTATACATGTTTTATACATTTTATCGAAATGATGTTACATCGAAGTTTTGTTTCCCATAATTTTGTTTCATCGCAAGTTTCAGTTTGCAAAATAATGGAAACATCAATTTTACTTCAAAAAATCAATATACATCGAAAATACGATTTCATGATGTATTTTTGGACTAAAAAAAGGTATTTAAAATGACTCAGTTCATCCCGACTCCGCGTAGTCTTATCTGCCCTACCCCTAGAGTGCAATTTAAAAGAGCGCAGGGAGCGCGGAGGAGGCGGGCTAAACTGTACTTCCAGGGCCCAAGTGGTGATGGTGGTGAAGGGTGTGGTGGAGGACGAGAACGGGGACCGTCCCCTCCCATATTTCGTCTCGTCCTGCCCCTTACCCTTTACCCCGCAGGCGAGGACATACTTAGGCGGTCTACCTATATAGGTATAGATGGGTAATCCACGCACGCGGGTTTTGTAGTTTAAACCCGTAAACACCATTTTTTTTATCTTTAACTTACATTTGAAATATTATTCTATTTCTCGATCTGACTAAATACAAGCTGGTACAGTGGGCCACAGTTTTAGTTAGCTACCCATTTCCGATTTTGTCTTTCGTTCTTATTAAATAGCATTTTTTTGCAATACAATGTGGCGGCATGACCGGAAATGAGTTGCTTGAGCTGTTGTCTTCTGTTCTTACGTGGAAAATGTACGCACTATGTAGGTATTTTGTATTTATTAATGAAAAGTTACGATAAATGCCACCACCCCATCTCATATTAAGTGACGGCGAAGTAGCCATCTACTAGCCACCAGCACCATTGCTGGTGTTGCAAATATCTGTCTGTAGAATAAATTAGTAGGTAAATATTGTAGGCGTAGAGCTAGCGATATGGTTTTTACCTCCAATAAGTAACACATTATTGGTCCATGCTAACACTAATTTATACAAAAAAAAACTCCGCTTGAATTTGAGCGCCCGTCTAGGCAATATAAAATCCGTATCTGTATTTTAAAATCTGGCACTTCGGGCCACTTACAATTTGCGAAGAATCAGTAATTCAAATCAAAAAATAATGGTAACCACACGCGTAGTGATATGATATATGGGCGTTAAAATTGCACAAATGCTCTCAATATCACAAATTGTCTCACTCATTTTGGCGGGTAATGGACCGCGGGACGTGTAGTGATGTAAAATCAAAAAATATATCGTCAAATAAATAAATAAAAATATTTCCGGTCCAGATTTAGGGACTTCCACACCTTTTAATCCGACCCTGGCCTTCTTTAATTCTACATGATAAAGGCATGCTGCCACCCCGGGCACAATACATACAAGAGCAGTACTCCGGCTTCATACTAACGCCCGATTCGACGCACACACACAGACAAACGTCATTTACGCGGCTGCTAAGCAATCTTGCCAAGACAAATCTACGTAGTGCCACGTCGCGCACCTCCGAGACTGGTCGTTGGCCGAGTTAAGTTAGCTGTGCTGAGCAGCCCGCGCCGCACCGTTTGCCTCCGTTTCGATTCCGTAACGTAGCAATAGTAACACACATATAATAAAAATC